CGCCTCCCCCCCCTCTCTGAGATAAAATTTACTTTGCCTCATACGAGAGCCCTCTTTTCATTTCAGGGCCATTTTTGCTGTTTTATGGCCGAAAAGTGGGGGTGTTTTAAATTGTGTGTTGGCTGTGGCAGCAAACCTGCCCCCCCCCCCCCGTGACTGCCACACACTCTGCATTCTCTGCCTAGGAGAAACACATCACCCAGATGCTTGTTGCCATTGTGCGAAGTTCTTGAATCAGACCTGCAAAAACTGCAAGGCTTCGAGTGGCACTTTGGGAGTCCGCACTGACCCCCCTGCCTGCCGGAAAGATGTTGGCTGAGACCCCTTCCAACCAACCAATGACACTCCTGTCGACATCGGGTGGTGCACTGGCATCGACCCCCCTTCACCATGCAAAGTTGGCATCGGACGGGGGCCCGTCTTCTAAGCACTCGGCATCAAACGAGGCCTCTTCCGCCTCTACGCCAGCCAAAAAGAAAAAAAAAGAGAAGCACGTGAAAGCTAAGTCTTCTCTTACGCACTGTGCGTAAGTCTCAGAGCGGCAAGAAAGTGCAAAAGGGCTCTGCAATGACCCCTCTTCAGTGGAGCTGCCTACGATTGAGTTACTGGACTCGCCCATTCAACAACTGAACCCCCTGGTATCGGAGGTCTCTGTCGAGACCGGACCGATCTTGGCCTCACCATGGGATATCAATGACATCGACCCACATAGGCCCCGTACAGATCGCTCTCCTTTGGCTGTTTCTTGGGCAAATGATGGATCTCAGCCGGACTCTCGATATCGACGATCCAGAACCCCCAGATGTGAGGGACATCGATCTGAAGAGTGCCTTGGGCACCGTCATTCCAGACCCATGCTCTCGTACTTGCCCAAACAGGAATTGAGACTGCACTCCCCAACCTACTTCGACCCACCTGTATCGTGGGACCGTAGGCACAACATGTCTTATTGGTTCACCTCGTATCCAATGTCGACATCGATGCCATGGCTGACGCCTAGGTCACAGTCGGACTGGGACCATGGGTCACGTCGTTCACGCTCTCTCCAATGTAAATCTAAGCCTTCCGTGTCTCAATCCAAACCTCCAGAGGAACCTTGTTGCCCACCCTCTCCTCTCCGTTCCGCCCCTGCTTTACCACCGAAGGTCGCTCCGATACCGAATACCCCTGTGGCACCAGTATTGCCTTCCAGTTCCTCAGTCTCCAATACCGGCACCGATGATTCGGAACGCCTCGAGTCACCTGAGGATCCTTCACCAAAGCCTACGGTGTCAGACAATCTACCGATCTCTCCTTCGGAGGATCTTTCTTCATACGGAGATTTGGTCAAGAGGATGGTGCATTCCCTGGGACTGTCTATAGTCCAACCCCAACCTTCAGTGTCGGACACTGTTTTCAATGTTGTGCAGATCAATACCTCCACATTGATCGCCTTCCCGTTGTCGACCGTCCTCTTACAGGTGGCTAAGTCCCCGTAGGACAAGCCATCTTCTGCTCCAGTGTCGTCCAGACATCTGGATCATAAGTATCGGGTCCAAGAGATGGAGGCTGAATTCCTCCATATCCACTCCAAGCCCAACTCCATGGTCGTGTCGTCTGCCTCAAAGAATAAATGTACCCTTGCTACTCCTATATTTTTCATTGTAGTTAATAATCTTATGAAAAATAATAAAAATACCCCCTTGGGGGTTTGAAAGAAAGAAAGAAAGAAAGAAAGAAAGAAAGAAAGAAAGAAAGAACATCCGGTTTGCGATAGGAGGCAACCACTACCAATACAGGAGTCTACCGTTTGGCCTCAGCACGGCCCTGCATGTCTTCACAAAGACGACGGTGGTGGTTGTGGCACATCTCTGCCTCTGTGGCCTGACAATGTTCCCATTTCTAGACGACTGGCTTCTGGTCGCACCTTCCAGGGAGCTTCTTGTTCACCATATATCCCAGGCCCTTAATGTCCTTCGTTGCATCGGTCTCCAGGTCAACCACAAAAAGTCACAGCTGGTTCCTTTTCAAAGAGTGCAGTTCATAGGGGCGATACTCGACTCCAGAGAAGGCAGAGCTTTCCTGCCACAGGACAGCGCCCTAACCCTGACTTCTCTTGCGGAACAAGTTCGGCTCCAGGACACATCATCTGCTTTCCAGATTCAACGCCTTCTGGGCCTGATGGCAGCTACAACTGCTGTCCTCCGTTTTACGAGGCTGCCAAGGCGTCTACCCCAGCTGTGGTTCATATGGCACTTCAAGCCTCTATGGATGTCCCAATCACTTTGTCTCTCTCCGCCACAGGAGGCACGCGACTCCCTTCTCTGGTGGACACGGTCAGACAACCTGATGCAGGGCATCCCTTTCCATCCCCTCACTCCTGGTCTCACCCTCACGACCGATGCCTTGCTGTGGTGCTGGGGAGCCCACCTCAACGGCCTCTCTGTAGGTCACAAGAGGGATGCCGTGACCTCAAGGAAACACATCAATTTTCTGGAACTTTTGGCAATCAAACGAGCCCTCCAATGTTTCCTTCCTCTTCTTACGGGAAAATGTGTGACTGTATTGACCGACAATACGACGGCCCTCAGTTACATCAACAGGCAGGGTGGAACGGTCTCCCGCAGTCTCTGCCTCCTGGCTCTAGACCTTTGGGCCTGGTGCATACAGCTGCACATCTTTCCCATTGCCTCACACATTGCTGGCAAGGCCAATGTGCATGTGGACCTGCTCAGCAGGGGTCTCTCTCAGCATCGCAACTGGGAGCTGAACTGGACTTACCTACATCCCGTCTTTCAAAAGTGGGGTACGCCTGTTAGCCAAATTGCCTTAAATTCTCAATTAATATTGGGGAAGTTATGATTATTAATCGGCAATAGGCAAATTAGGGTTTACACCAGTTTATACAGAAGTCCCACCTTTACTGTAAGTACCAGAACAGGCACAGAGACTATGATTGGTAAAATATAATGTCTTTTACTGATGGAGATGTCTCAGTCAAACAATACACAAACACTCACACAATTATACTTATACTAAGAAATAAAGATAGATAATTATGATGTTTGCATGAGCAGGATATTCATTGTTTGGGCAATAATTACCTGTCTTCGTGACTGAGCCGTTCCAATGGAAGAATGGAGGGGATAAGAATGGAAAATGGGGAACACATGCTCTGAACTGGCAGAAACACGTGGAACTCTGGCTGGAGACCTAGAGTTTAAAGATGGAGGTAAGGTAATTGGATAGCAAGTGGGATATAAGAGGGTTAAAGCTTCGATAGGGGATGTGGAGGGGTTGAGAGAGAGAGACCATGTGGTTGGAAAGCATCTTTTATAACGTGGTGTGGGGGGGAACAGGTTGAGCTAGCCACACATCCCTGTGACACCTGTTAGTCTGTCCCATAAAACATACTATTGGTTAGAGGGAAAGGGGGAGGAGAGCTAGGGGTTGGTCAATATTGAGAGCTAGTAACTTGGTCTGGGGACTGGCACCTGGATGAAGAGTGATTGAATCATCAGGCTAGGGCTATTGTCTCTTGATGGCCCTAGCTGGCTTCCTAAGCAACCATGAATAGAGTCTCTTGATTAGATTTGTAGGTAGCTGGAAGAGGGGGGGAAAGGGGTTGCCTATATGTGCTGGAAGAAACTCCTAATGGCGTCTGGAGTTCGCTGTCCTCATGTTTTTTATGGCATGGCATCTGAGGCTTTGTGCAGGCTTATGGAACTGCTTCATCTCACAGCAGGCAAGATGGCTGGTGACTCTGGAATACTTCTGGAGCAGCAACGCTAAAGGAAGGTGTCCCTCTTTCAGGTGTGCAGTCTCAACAGGTATTTTTAGGTCACCATGTTGTACAGTCCCTTTGCACAGTCCATACAGTCCATAAAAACACATTGATAGGCTTGCATGGCAACACGCCTCACGTCGACGTCTTCGCCACCAGGTGCAATTCGAAGTGCAACCTGTTTTGCTGCAGGGGAGCACAAGATCCCAAGGCCTTGGGAGATGGGCTCCTTTACTCATGGGACAACAACTTCCTGTGTATGTTCCCCCCTCTGCTGCTGCTGCTGAGGACGGTCCAAAGGCTCATGAGGGTCCACACAAGGTGCATACTGATCGCCCCCTGGTGGCCGAGGCAACCTTGGTGCTCCAGCCTCCTCTCGCTGACCAAGGCTCGCCATCCTCTCCCACAGGTGCCAGATCTGCTCCTAGTGGAGGGAGGAGCTCTGCTGTTCCACGAGGTACACAAGCTCAAGCTAACAGCTTATCTCGTGGACAATTAACATTCTCGGATAGAATCACCACTGTGCTACTCAATGCCAGGAAGGATTCTACAAGACGTTCCTACAGGGGAAAGTGGGCTAGTTTCTTAGCTTCCGTACAGCCCTCGGACATGCCCCCGGCTTCTGTCAGGATTGACCAGTTCTTAGAATTTCTGCTTTTGCTGGCAGAGAAGGGCCTCTTGCAGTCCTCAATCAGGGTTGGCAATTTCTTCCTACCATCCGGGCTTCAACGGTTTCTCCATTTTTTCTCACCCGGTCTCAAAGAAATTTCCTAAAGGTCTCCTCCACCTATATCCACCGATCCGTTCACTGGTACCCTTGTGGGACTTGCCGATGGTACTACGCCATCTGATGGGACAGCCCTTTGAGCCTATGGCAACTTGCGAGCTAAAGCATGCAGCATGGAAAACTGCCTTTCTTGTTGCCATTACCTCGACCAGGAGGGTGGGTGAACTCGTGGCCCTCCATCATGACTCACCCTTCCTTACCTTCCTACCGGATGGTGTGAGACTGGTGCCCGACTTCTCGTTCCTGCCTAAAGTGGTTTCCAAGTTCCACCTCAGCTCAGAGATCTTCTTGCCGAACTTCTTTCCTAGCCCGAAAGATGGCCAACAGCGTCTCCTCCATGCACTAGATGTTAGGAGGGTGCTACTTTTTTACCTGGACAGGACACGTTCAAGTAGGAGGGACAATCACTTTTTTGTCTCCTACTCCAGTCACTCCACGGGACAAAAAATCTCAGCACAACGTCTCTCCAGTGGTCAGAATGAACTGGTGGGATGTCCGCGCCCCACCTCCTTGGGCATGCGCAGTGGGGTTCCCGCGCATGCCTGGAAGGGAGTCGTGAAAATCCCATTGTGAGCTTTGCATACCACCAATTCGGGCTGCGGTCACACGGAACATTAGCCATGCGAGTCAGACGGAAGACATGCGGGTTTTCGGGGCGCGATCTCACCGGCACATCTGGGAAGTGTAGCACTCCCGTGGCTCAAACGAGGCTTCCTGCCGAAACCACGCGGCAAAAAACTAGTACCTCCGAGGTACTAGTTTACGGAAACCGCGGGGCAAGGGCGGGCGTCTGATCGCGTTTCCGGTGGCATCCGGCGCCCGCCCATGTTCCCTGGCGAAAAAGTTTTTTTTTTCCTTCAAGTCTTTGTGGATGCGCAAAAGCACACAACGGAGCATGCGCAGTCATGGTGTAAACAAAAATAAAACCTTCCAGTTTGCCGCACCGCGCACTTCGTTTTTGCGCGTGGGATTGTCCTGCGATCGGCACCTCTCCTTTCCCACGGAACCTCCACAGTACCTCCACGGGAGGTCTGATCAGGTAACCGCGCCTTAGTTTGCCCCGGGGCAAACTGCCACACTTCCCCCCCGCGGTTTCCTGCCCGTGTGACCGGGACCTCGGATCATCACAGGCGCAGAATCCCATAGGTGTGACTGCACAGATGACTACTCGAAGATCATCATTTACAGGTAAGCAACCTGTTTATTTTCACTGTTCTCAAAGTTGTCTCCTCCACTAGTGCAGAATGTATGGACTATGCATCCCAGTTTGAAGGCAGGCTTGTCGATAAGAAGATGTCCTCCAAAAAGCCTCTGTCTTTTCCTGAATTCTTCCAGACATCTTCTGCTCTAGCAGTATATGACAGCCTTCAACAAAGCCTAGGGGTCTATTCAAATCCATAGAAACCATACAACCTTACCAGCTTGGTGACTGGGTAGGGAGTAAACCATGCCCTTGGATATCTGAATTTTTTTTTCTTATTCTTGCATCAGCCTGTTGGTAGTCCACCGACAGAGCTTGATTTTACTTCCATGTCATGGTGCTAATTGTATGGCAACTATCCTGCTAAAACCCAAATTCCACTACATGCAAGAACTATCTAGTGAAATGTTTTAATTCTGTCCTTTGGCCTAAAAGACCCTAGCAAGAGAAACAAGATGTTATCTGAGTCAGAAAAAGGGGAAGGACTTCAAAAAGGGGTGTTCTTTTCTACATGGCTGCCTCCTGTGCTGAGCTGAGAGCATAGCCCATACATCCTAGCAACAACTCCCAGATAAGAATTCAGTTGGCTCATTTCAGTGCTTGTGTTTGTTTTACTGCATCAAATTTAACAATGTACTTTCCTTTACAAAGGCTACATACCACCTTCTACATTTACAAGTGCAAGACGAAGTCCAACAGTCTCTATTTTAGAACTTGAAAAAAATAAGGATATCTTAAATATGGCAATGCTGAAGGTAATAATATAATTCGGAGTGTGAAAATATATAATAGTCTCTCAGCAATGATAGAAAAATCCTTTTTCTCTGAGGCAAACATGGGGCTGGTGCATTTTTGTTAGTTAGATCATACTGTTTATAAATTCTAGTGATGGGTGACTCACATCCCTGGTGCCCAGCAGTTCAGTTAAATGCCATGTTCTCCAGTGACTTCAGGGTGTGGCAGTCACGTCTGATAGGATTGCTTTGCATTTGGTTGACAGACATGACCTTGTGCAGGATCAGCATCAAGGGAAAAAGGACGGACCTACAAAATATACAAAAGTGTTTGTATGTGAACAAAATGAAGAACCAATATTACAAAACTATTCATTAAACCGTATTATGCATGTAGGACACAGATTTAGGACTTCTTGTACACTACATCATACTTCTAGAGATTCCTGTTCATTACTGAGAAAGAATAGGCACTCTTGCTTGTGCTAGTGAACTTACAGCTGAATAGGTATTTTTTAAAGAACAAAACAATTTTACTCTTTATGAATTTCACAGAACAGTATTTTTTTATTTTGTTAGGGTATTTTATTGGCAGAAGCTGAAGAAAGGATTAGTTCCATTCTTGAAAGCATGCAGAGCAAATATGACAGGGTGATCTCTCGGTGTTCAGCAGCAGACTTAGAGATTGTAATTGAAGCCAAGCTTCAGCTTGCAGCTATTGCACAACAAAGACTTCAAACAGCTTTCAGGTAAATAAAATAGCTTATTTAACTTAACTCTAGAAAATCCCAGTGAATGCTCTACATAGATTTGTCATTCCTGTATGTTTGCACAGATGACCACTCAAAGAAACCTATTACAGCTAAGCAATCTGTTTTTCCTGTTTTGAGGGAACCTGTTACATGTTAAATGACACTCAGTTTTCATACTAAGAAGCAAACCAGATGACAGCAAAAAATAATGCTTTGTGGTATTGCTGCTTTCCTATTTTTATTTTGGTTTTTGCTTGATTTTTTAAAAAACTGTTGATTGGAGAGGCAGTTTCTCACTGACATTGTGCTTGATAATTGGTAATTGTTTAAAAGCTGGCTTTGTTCAAAATGGGGCAGTGGTTTGCAGTTTACCAAGTTTAAGAAAACAATTCTGTCATTGTTTACATGGACAGCTAGAAATACAGGTGCTGATTTGTGCATGTATACTGTGTCAATCATTATAGATCCAGTTGGTCAGCCATGTTGGTCTGAAGCAATACAACAAATTTAGAATCCAATGACACCTTTAAGACCAACAAAGGTTTATTCAAGGTATGAGCTTTTGTGTGCACGCACACTTTATCAAATACGTAGAATGGCAAAAAGGGTTCAACTTTGTAGCCAGAGAATGAACAGCAGATTAACATGCAACATGATAATGATCAAGATATGCAAAGTGACACTAAATAACAAGTTAAGGTTATAAGGTCAACAGTTGTAAAACAATAAATATGTCAAACTAGCAGAGAAATGTCTAAAGGTGTCTTTTCTAATTGTGGGAAGTGACTGGGAATCTTCATTCTGTCTGGTGAGGAGGGCACTTAACACTACATCCCCCTCTAAAAAAATGTTGCTGTCAGCAGACATCCTAATATCCCTTGCATATATTCAGTATTCTAATATACTATTACAAAAAAGAAATACACTAAAATACATTAAAAACTGAGAATTTATAGTCGTTCTTGTTGAGAATACATATGTGAGGACTGAATGAGTTAGCATATGTAATGAGATAAAAATCCAATATCCCTGTTGAGTCCTGGGGAGGTTTTTGTTCCAAGCGTTGTAATAACTTGTAATTCCAGAATTTCCCTTTCCATTATGTTCCTGAAGTTCCTTTGTAATAAAACAGCTACTTTGAGGTCACCCACTGAATATTCTGGGAGGTTGAAGTGTTCTCTTATGGGTTTCTCAGTCTTGTGATTCCTGATGTCAGATTTGTGTCCATTTATCCTCTGGCATAGGGTTTGTCTTGTTTGTCCTATGTAGAGAACCGAAGGGCATTGCTGACATTTAATGGCATATACAATGTTAGAAGATGAGCAAGTGAATGAGCCTCTGATGGTGTAGTTGATGTTGTTAGGTCCAGTGATTGTGTTCTCTGGGTGTATATGGCAGCAAAGTTGGTATCTGGGTTTATTGCAACCTCTGGTCCCAGTGTCCATGTTCAAATGAGATGTTGCATTATTGTGGGTGTGTCCACATAGGACAAACAGGACAAGCCCTACGCCAGAGGATAAATGGACACAAGGGTGGATGGTGCAACCTGCATTTAAGTTATCAATCACTATAACCATGCATCAAAGGTGACACCAAAGTGCACTGGCACAGAAGTGGATCATATCATGTTTCAGGACCCAGCCAAAAATTTGGATTCCACTTCAGAGGAGGAAGAGGCAGCTGAAGAGATCATAGAGCTCAGTTCTTATGAGGTTCTAGGAAGCAGTCATTGAGAAACTTCCCAGAAAGAAAACATGAAGACCCTTAAAGTTTATTCTACACTCCCCCAACTGCTAAGTGTTTCCCTTCCAATATATTCCACTGGGAAATTGGGGCCTTGTGTTGCTGTGCTACACAGAAGGCTGCTACTGTGGACCACATCCAGGCTACTGGCTGTGTTATCTCCTGGGACACTGGTGTGCTGTGCCCTCAGAACCTTTGTGTTTTGTTTTGTTTGTACTACTGATAATTACTTTGTATATTTTTGTTTTACCTGTGTTGTGCATCAGTGAGGAATTTTGATTTGTTCATAATTATCAGTCTAGCTTGGGGGTCCCCAGCCTTTTTGAGCCTGCAGGCATCAGTGAATTCTGACACAAAATGGCTGCTGCAGGAGGCAGGGCCAGACACAAAATGCTTGGGAGTAAGGTTGTGCATGATTCTTACAGTACATCTTCAAAATTTCAGGCCGAAGTTGTGCTTAACAGGATGCCTCTTAAAATGAACATACGGTTTTAAAGTTGTTTTTTGTCATGTACACAGCCTTACCTTCAGTCACACACTGAAGATCTTTGTGTTGTGGTGCCAGCTGCTGCCAAAGCAATGTTGTTAGAAATCTGCACAGCCAGTCAAAATCCCTCCTGTGCAAAAGTTTTGTCTGGCCCCACCACTTTCAAACAGTACTTGCTAGGTGCTAGAAAAGGTGTTTATGGGTGCTACACTGGGGATCCCAGTCTACCATATTCAAAGAAGTAAATTCCTTCCCGGACTTAAGTCAGATATTTACAGTGTTTGTCAAAGGCCACATGGTAGTCTCACATGTTTTAATACAGTTTGCTTCAAAGTATGTTCAGAATCCCAGCTTTTGCAATTATAGCCTTACTCCTAAACACATTACTTAAAAGTATGTTCTACTTGCTTGTATGGTAATTTCACCATCTTAGGGAATGACCTTGCTGGTAGTTACAGTGCTCCTGTACAGAATTTGGTGTAGGCTTGGTTGAGCCCTGTTCTCCCCATGCACTTGTTTGAGCACACATGCAGGTGGGAACATGGGCCGTTAAGACGAATCAGAAGTCAGTGCATGCTACCCACAGGCACCCCTTGCCCTTCTGCTCTGCTTGCTGGAAGTTACTCAGACTGAGAGGGCTGAATGAAGATATGAGAACCATTCACAGACTTTTCTTTGGCCAGTGCTGCCTCTGAGAGCACTCATTATAAAAACATGGCTCTCTTAAGCATATGGAAAATTGTGCTTGCTGTAGACAGAATCAGGCCTTTAGTGTTCAAGAGGAAACAATTCACAGATTGTGCATGAAGGATCTCAGAAGGCCATCTTTTCTAGACAACTGCTAATCCCGCTGTTTAGCCCTTCGCAGGCATTTTTCTTTTCCTCTGCACTTCTTTCTTCCATGTTCAAAAGTGGGCAATGTTTGGTGAATGCCTGAATTACTAGAAAGGCAGGAAAAGTTATATTTTACAGGGAAAGTTTTGGCCTGTTTGGTGTAGTGGTTAGGTGTGCAGACTCTAATCTGGGAGAACCGGGTTTGATTCCCCACTCCTCCACTTACAGCTGCTGGATGACCTTGGGCAAGCCATAGTTCTGTCAGAGCTGTTCTCTCAAGGACAGTTCTGGAAAGAACTCTCTCAGCCCCACCTACCTCACATGGTGTCTGTTGTGGGGAGGGGAAGGGAAATGAGTTTGTAAGCCGCTCTGAGACTCCGAGTGAAGGGCAGGGTATAAATTCAATCTCCTCCTCCTCCTTCTCTTTGTCAATATTTGGGCCTACCTCTGAAATTCTGTCCTATATACACCTTTTCTATCACTGCATATCTGAAAGAAAGAATTTAGTGCACCTCTGGTTTTAAGAAATGAGGGAACTGGCCCTCTGAATGCTCAGTGCATTTGGTGTATCACACTTAGTGGGGTAAAAGTTCTCATTAAACATTCCATAAGCATATTATGCTGCTGTCAGCATTTTATGGCGTGTGGACATGTTCAGGTGGATGTATGTAGGTAGTTAAAATACATCTAATAAATTACATTGTTAAGTTTTGCAAAATTTCTGCCTTTGCTACTAAATCTATACAACAAATCATTTGAAGCCCTAAGCAAATGCCATGTTCTGCCTTTTCACTGTGAAGAAATGGAAAATTTTCCAGACATAGCTGAAGCTGGTTATCTACTTAAAATATTTCATCTTGAAATCAAATCTAGGACATCTGTAAGCATGAAAATGAAACCTAATCACATTTTCCGACTTCATATTATACTTAAAATGTTAGTTTATAAGAATCTATCAAAATATCTGTGGTTTATATTTCCTTTTTGCCTGATTGAACCAAACTCCTGAGGTGCTGGAATGACTTGCATGAAAATACTCAAAAAATTTTATGTTCCATTGTATTTTTGTTTATCACAGTGCTGCTTTGGCCTTTTCCACAATAAAACTTCTTCAAGATGCAGATGTCTTCAAGAAAACATCTGATTTACCACAGGATAAAGAGAAAAGAGATGAGGCATGTTTTTATTGGTGCAGATTTTCTAGTTGACAACTTTATGATAGAAAGTGTTGTATCAATAGCAGCAAAGTAAAACTGTCAATGTTTAAAATGTTTTTCTATAATTTTCTTATATATTATGTCTTACTAAGTTTTAGATTAATAGATAAATATCATAAATTGTCCCATGTTGTTTAGAAACAGAACAATCTTTTTCATAAATAACATAATATTCACATTTTTCTGTTTGTGAATAATACATCAAAATGGATAAATTTGTTTATCTTCCAAGAGATTTTTCTTATGTCTTTTAGCCAAATGAACATGACATTTATATTGAGGATTCCCATGTGTTACACAATGTAATAGCACAGGAACGTATGAATATACATCTATGGCTGAGGTGTCGTCTGGCTTTAGTTACTGCAATTACTGCACAGATACGAGGCATTGAAACAATGACAGGTAATATTTAATCCAGAAATGACTAGTGTTATATCTCTGTTTTGGCTGACTCACTTACCTTCATGTTGATTATTGCCTTTTCAAAAATGTTATTCTTAATGAAGTAGCACTTGCCCATGCTTATGTTTTGCTGGTGCTACCTTAAGATGTATTACCAAAAATAGATGTCGTACCATAGTAGAGAGTACTATGTGGTACCACAGTAGAGAGTACTATGCAGAAACTCAAGGAGGCATACCCAGTGTTGCCTCTGATCACTGTAGGGTTGCCAAACTCCCGCTGGGGGTAGGAGATCCCCAGATTTGAGAACCCTGCTCCAATTTGGGAGTATTGGGCAGCGGGGGACAAAATGGTGGCCATTGGTGCTACTCTAGTATTCCCCCCTGCTAGTCTCTATGGTAGCTAGAGCATCACTGCCTCCTCTGTCTGTCTCCTCCATGTGTTTTGCAAGTGGAGGGGGCATCTCTGCCCCACTTTCCTGCTTAAAGAAGCCCCCCCACTCCCAGCAGCACTCATTCAACCTTGTGCAGGTGAGCTGCTGGTGGAAGCTGTCTGCAGAGATGCCGCCACCTAGGCCACCACACCTCAGAATAGAGTCTTACTTGGAGAAGCCATTGGGGTTGCTGCACACTGTGGGGCCTTGGAGAAGGTAGGATCCCTGGAGAAGCAGATGGCTGGGGAGGGAGGTGTTAGATTTTCGCCCCCATTCCCTGGGCCATGCTGCAGCCTTCAGAGGAGCCGTGGGGGATCCATGCATGAATTCCTGTGTGCACTCCAGCCTTAAGTAAAACTATGGCCCCGGTCACACGGGCAGGAAAATGCGGGGGGGAAGCGTGGCTGTTTGCCTCGGAGCAAAATAACGTGCGGTTGCGCGATCAGACGTCCCGTAGAGGTCCCGTTGAGGTCCCGTGGTTGAGGGGAGGTGCTGATCACAGGACAATCCTGTGGCGTGGCAAAGAAGCGGCCTCTCTAGCAAAAGGCTCTGCAGGTTTAACCCCTTCCAGGGTTGCAGAGGAATGCAGACTGTGTCCTCCGTCCGGTCCCCTCCAGGAGGAGCTTCAGCCGGGCCGCCCCCCCGCCACCCCCCCCTGCACCTCCCCCTCTGCTGCCCGGTGCAGAGAGTTCCTCTCGAGCAGGCCGAGCCAGGAGTGGGGGGGGTACGGAAAAGAAGAGGGGGCTGTGTTGTTTGTTTTTAAACGAAGTGTGTGCATGCACCGTTGGGTGCTTTGTGCGCATCCTGTGGAGACTTGGGGAAAAAAAACCCTTTTAGTGACGGGACATGGGCGGGTGCCGGATGCCACAACCTACCACCGGAAACGCGATGAGGCACCCGCGCTTGCCCCGCGGTTTTCGGAAACTAGTACCTCGGAGGTACTAGTTTTTTACCCTGCATCTTTGGCGGGAAGCCTTGGGTTCGCCACAGGAGCTCTACGCTTCCCAGATGCGGTGCTGTGATCGCGCCCGGAAAATCCGCCTATCTTCCATGTCTGTAGCGTGGCTTAATGCTCCGTGTGTCTGCAGCCTTTGTTGGTCTTAGGTGGCACTGGACTCCACATTTGTGTTCTTGCATGCTCTGACTTCCTGCTCCCAAGAGAAGCATATGGCTGGGCAGAGGGGGGATGTTGGATTTTTGCTCCCATTCCATGGGCGATGCTGCAGCCTTCGGAGGAGCCGTGGGGGGGGCCGTGGGGGGGGGGGGGAAGGATGCAGCCACGCATGAGCTCCTGTGTGCACTCCAGTCTTAAATAAAACTTTGTTGGTCTTAAGGTGGCACTGGACCAAGTTTGTCTTCTTGTATGCTCTGACTTTCTTGCTCCCTGGAGAAGCGGATGGCTGGGTAGGGTGTGTGTGTTGAATTTTCATCCCCATCCCTGGGCCATGCCAAAGCCTTCAGAGGAGCATTGGGGGGGGGAATGCAGCCATGGGCCCCTCTCATCACCACTGGGAGAAGCTGCCCTGGCAGAACTCTGTTTTCTTGTTCTTGGTGTGTGAGGGGCAGCTGAGGAACTAGTCTCTGAGGAAGTGTGCACTCCCTTCTTGAATAAAACTTTGTTGGTCCTAAAAGGTGGCACTGGAGTCTGGATTCCAACTTTGTATGCTATTTCTATAAATTAAATATGAAAATGGTCTTTAGGGGAAAGCTGGGGAAGCAATCAATGGGTGCATTAATTACCGCAATTCATAACCCAAATAAATGCAGGACTTAGCCTTTTTGCTGGATACCAGTGGAAAGACGTTCACAAGAGACAAAGGCTTTCGATCCTGCTATGTTAATATGCAGATAAAGATAAATAAAGTGTAGACTCCTCTGGGGATATCCTGAGCTGGGATCAGTTCCCACATGCAGAGCATGAATTATTGATGCAGAATATAATTTTCCTCCCCGTGTTTGGGTGCATTCCTTGATCCTGTAGCCTGATGATAAATGGCTACATGAGGGGTTTTTTTAAATCCTCCCCCCTCCCCACCATGCAAAGCCTGACCCCCAATGGATCTGAGGAAGGGTAAACTTGCAGAAAGTCTCCATGCATCAATATGTAGATGGCATGATGGTTTATTATACCTTTTGGCTGGTGCTGAAATATTCTGAAAAACATTTTAGAATCCTGAACCTTCTCCCCGATTGATTTCCTACACTCTCCCTGTAGAACTTGCTGTTCAGATTAAAGCTGTTGGGGAGTGTGCCACCTCATCCCTACCCCAGGCTTGTGATGTTACTGGCTGTTGTTATTTGGGCACCTTTTTACAATACCCGAAGATTGTTGAGGTCTCTATATTTTGCTGTAGTATCTCCAGTTAAAAGGACCAGGCAATGAGTGATGTGAAGTATCTCAGCCTGAGACCCTAGAGAGCTGCTGTCAGTCTGAGTTCACAGTACAGACCAAGGGTCAGATTCTCTGTAAGGCAGCTTCATGTGTGTTCATGCTATAAAAACCTATCCTGCAGTCACTCCATCAGTTACTGGGCTGGTTATTATGTACAAGGACCTTCAAGTCCTAGGACCCACATTTCTGAGAGACTGCCTCTCCTACTATGCTACAGCAGCTTTGGTCGTCTGAACAGAGCCTTCTAAAGGTGGTCGGTTCCTCCTTGTAAAATATGAGCAACCACCTGCTTGGAGTCATGGTAGATAACTCACTGAAGATGTTGACTCAGTGTGCAACTGCAATTAAAAAGGAAAATTCTATGCTATGCTGGGGATTATTAGGAAGGAGACTGAAAACACATCAGCCAGTATCATAATGCCCCTGTATAAATCTATGGTGCAGTCTCATTTGGAATATTGTGTATTCTTGTCACTGCACCTCAAAAAAGATATTATAGCTTAGGGAAAAGATGCAGAAAAGGGCAACTAAAATGATTAAGGGGATGGAACACCTTTCCTATGAAGAAACATTAGAGGGGTTGTGAAATTTTAGCTTGGAGAAACAATTGAGGGGTGACATGACAGAGGTTTACAAAATTATGCGTGGGATAGAGAAGGCACAGAAATAAGTACTTTCCCCCCTTTATCACAGTACAAGAACTTGTACAAGAACTGACAAAAGGTATTACTTCTTCACCCAAAGAGTCATTAACACATGGAATTCACTGCTGCAGGAAGTGGTGGCAGCTGGAAGTACAGACAGCTTCAAGTGGGGGTTGGATAAACATATGGAGGAGGGGTCCATCAGAGTCACAAAGTACAGATGGAACACTATGTCTTGGGCCGTGATGCTCTGTATTCTTGTTACTTGGGGGGGGGGAGTTTACCTTGTAGGATGGTTTTTGAGGATAAAAAGGAGGAGAGTAAGATGCTGAAGATTTGAGGGGCAGAAAGCAATGTAATGTGAGAAATTTAAATTTGGAAGAAGGACGTGACCTGACGGGATGGGCCAGGGAAGAAAGCATAGATTTCTAGGGTAGAAAGGTGATATATGTTAGTGTATTTACATTTGAATTTTGAAAGAAGGAAGTTACTTCAGAGGAATGCCCTGAAAGTGACATCACAGGAAGGGGTAGTATTTTGATGCAGTGTGCTGAAAATGACATCACCAGAAGGGGTGGAGCTCAAGAAGTGACATCACCGGACATGACATCACAAAAGTCTCCTGGCTACACCCCCAAAGTTCACAGATATTTCCTGAGTTGGACCTGGCAACCCTAGATCACTGAAGTTTTCTGGTTCCAATTTTGGCAACTGCTGATGTGCCTTTGGGTTGTGAGTGTAGTGCTTCAAATATGGGTATAGATAATTGACTTGTAGATAAAAAAGGTATATCTAGTCTAGTACAGCATTTGTAAAGGAGGTGCTTTTGAAAGCTCACAAGTAGGATGGGAAGGTTTTGGCTATTCCCTGCTTTTGTCTCCAATACCTATTTATCTGAATGCAAAGGTTCCATTTAGCTTCCAGGCTAAAAATCATTGCTGTGCTCTTTCAGTTTCATTGATCATTGAGGTATGTGCCAGCACAGGCTATACAAGTGCACACTTGTTAGCATTAATTATAGTTGATATCAAACTACAGTTTTCAAGCCTTCCCCTGCCATAGTTGCAAACTGGTTTGACACTAACTAATCTCAGGACTAACACTGGTGCAGCTGTAATGCTAACACAGATACGGTCAGAACCAAGATGGGCACTCCCAGTGATCTAATCCTGGGAAGACAATAGGGTAGCACTCTATCTGTGCCTAGCCACTAAACTATGGTAAGGGCAAACTAAGTTCACAGGATCATTATTACTTTATCAGTGCCTCACGTTAAATGAAATTTGCATGTCATAAAAGTATATAGATGATATTATTATTATTATTATTATTAGTATTGGCAAATGTTATATGCTGGCATTTTGGAGTATGTTTTATTGATTAATATATTTTAATATATATTTTTAAAGAAAATGAACTGGCAGAGTGCTCATGTCTGATCAGTGAGGTACAAGTGGAAGCTGAAGCATTTAATGATGTTGAGATACTTGCTGAAATTATGATGCAAGCTGTCATGCTGGGTCTGCAAGAACGACAGCCCGTGACTGACATTAAGCTTCATTTACAGGTTTGAAGACCAAACATGAATACATTTTTCTCCTAAAATTGCTGAGCAAATTGTCTTTGTCATAACTGATACCTTCGGTTTAGCTATTTAGCTTAGAAAGTCTTTTTGTCTTGACGAGTGATTTTAAAATGGGAGGGGAGGATAATCACTTGGCATGGGACACATGTAAGGGAGCAGGTTACCTCAAAGCTATGATCCTTAGCCAGTGTGATGCCTTCTTTACTATATCAACCAAAATATAAGTTTAGTCCCCATAAAAGATGAACCCCCATACTTGATTTTTGAAATAATTATAGCCCCATCTCATCAGATGTATTCTAATGGTGTCTCTCCGTGTATGATGGTCAGAGATGGCACTGTCTGAACCTTTTCTTGAGCCAATATATGCAAAGTTTTTGCATGCCCACAGATGAAACAGGTGGGCTGAGGGGGAGCAGAACACAGAGTGAATTTAGAAGGCAGACCCAGTATTTTAAAACCACTTATCTACATTTTAGCCATCAGTATGTTACTTTCAGGTTGGTAGCCATGTTAGTCTGCAGGAGAGGACCAAGGATTGAGTCCAGTAGCAAATTAAAGGCCAATGAGATTTCTAGGGTATAAGCTTTTGACAATCATAGTATCTGATGAAGGGAGCTTTGACTCTTGACAATTTATACCCTGGAAATCTTGTTGGTCTTTAAGATACTACTAGACTCATATCTAATATTTTACTGTATTCTGTTACATTCATATAGGATATCATCAGATTACTTGAAGAAAAGACGCTGATTTCATCTCCAGCTTCTTTAACATTAGTAAAGAGTATGCTTCTGCTATCTGACATAATGAGGACACAAACAGAAGATGAGTCAAAACATATTTCTAAAACTGATCAACTAGATTTATTAATTCTGGCACATAGGCTTGTCATTGAACAGGTAAGCATGCAAGTATATGTGGCTGATTTTTTTGTCCATGTATATTTCCCCCCCCCGCGTTTGCAACCTGATTATGACATCCAGGTTGGGTTTAGCACAGATTAAGATCCTTTGACCATGCTAATAATCTAGGGTCCAGAAAGTTCTCACTTTTAAAATATGATCAGGAATGAATTCTGGCATGATGCTTAATGCCAATAGATCAGAGAGTGGAGAATGGAGACAAATTGAACACAAAGGGCAAGGCTCAGTTGAGAAAAGATAAGGATGGTGTCTGTATGAACTCGAGGATCTAGGCAGGATTTAGAGATTAATTCAGTTAGTTTCAGGGGAGTTTTAAAATTATATTCTGGATCAGCAGCCTTTAATGTTCTTCAGCAAAACATTTTTGAAACGGAAAGAGATTTAGAAAGCAGCTTGTGGTAATACATCACATTTTTAGTCTGCCCTTTTTTGAGCTCTTGGTTCTTTTAAAAATTGCATCCTTGCAACAAGCATATGAATTTGCTTAGGTTGAGAGACAGAGACTTGCCCAAGGCCACCTGATGAACTTCAAGGATGAATTTATGAACTCAGGCCTTCCTGGTCCAATCCTTCTACTCTGTCCACTGGTGTACTCTGACTTTGAGTCTATAACTGTGAGAACAGAGAAGCTGGGATCTAAAAATAGAGTTTATTTTATCGCTCATCCAATGATGTGAGTTTGGAAATTTGCTATATTCAAAGGTCAAAAAGTAAAGATCCCACTGGATTCAAACCTCTGTTTCTTGCTATTTCATTCACATGGTTAATGTGCTATAGCAGATTTCTTGTATATACCATTTTTATCCTTCCTTTGGTCTCTGTTCTCTAACAACTTCTACCATTATTTGCCTACAAGCAACTGAAACTAGTCTATACCTTTTTCTTTGTGAATATATTTTCCAGCATTTGCTCCTCACCTGGAGTGTTTGTATGCTGGCAAGCAGAGCTGAGAAATCATGGGCTTGGGTCCTAAGGTGATTTTCCAAAAGCACAGCAGCAGTTCCAGTGGATTGACTTTCTCATCTGTGGTGGAGAAGGGGAGGGAAATGTTCACTGGTTCCTTCCTGCTGCAGACTCCCCGTTCGTTCCCCGTGCGATTCCTTCAATTCCACTGACTCACAGGAGGGGGGGGGGGGCGGGTCAGGGATGACAGAAGGATTTGCTTGGGCTGCTTAGAATTCAAAGCAAAAAATACTTGTAACAAACATATAATCAAATATCACATAAAAAGACAAAATATGAAGAAATAGCCATGAGGATAGTAAACATGTGCTAGGGATTTAGGTACAGGTAGAAGTATACAATAAAAGTAAAGCTAAGGGAGAATCTTTTTATATATTGATTAAAAATTATTTGCTTTGGAGAGGATATTTTTGTCTTGCCTTAATGAGAGCTTTCACCTTGAGATAGTTCCTAACCATACTATGTGTTCAGAGGTTAATTTAATTTCTCAGATATTTTATACAAAGGCTCTTATCAGATGAATGGCATGGCATCAAAACTTGTATGCTGAGATCCAGGTTGGGTTTAACACAGATCCAAAAATCTAAGATTAAATCTATCAAATCTAAGATTAAATAAAATCTGCTTCCATAAACTGAGTAGCTATTTTTCTCATGTAATCAGTTTATATGACAAAAATCATTCCACACTGAAGATCCCCTTCCGCATGCAGATGCACAATTCCTTGCATAGTTAGGATAATTGTGCATATAATTTGTGCAAAGGATCCATTTCAACATAATGGTATTCTGCTTGGGGCTCTCTGGCTCACAGTCATCATAGCTAATGATTGCTTTGTTCCATAACACATTTCTGTTTACTATGACAGCTGCCTTCCCTTTACCTAAATCTTTACTCTTTTTCTAGTTTACAGTAATTCATTATCTATGTCATTACCAGTACCTTTTATAACTCTGAAATCACTGGACTTTTGAGTGTGTAAAAACTATAGACCAATGTAAGATTAGAGCACTTGTTTGTATAAAATAAATGAGTTTAGTAAGTATTGTATATAATTTTTATTACTAAATAATACTTTTTGACAGTTATTTATTTTGGGAGAATCGATTAAACAAAATGCAGAAGAGCCTACATTTATGACTCCAGTGCTGCCTTTGAAAAATATATATCTGCCACATATCAGATTACTGGCAAAAGTCAAAATGAGGATTGGTAAGAAAATTTTAAGTTTTCTGTGTAGCATTTTCATTATAGTGATAATTTGTTATGCTTGAAATTGTTAGAAGATATGTATGAATTATTTCAGTTTCATCATCAAGTATATAAATGGTTATGTTTAAATCTAACACAGTAATACTTAGTGATTTGGGAGCCATACATGGCCCTTTGAATATGCCACCTGTGGCTCTTCTGGGGGCTGTTCCCCTCATGTGGCACTTGCCCCATATTCCAAGAAAGCTGGCAGGCAGTTCCCACCTTGAAACAGTTGCCACTGAAGGGACTGGAGGGTATGCTTGATCTGTAGAATTCATGCCAGGTACGGAAGTAAAAGGGCCCATTCTCTCCAACAATCCCCATCCTTCTCTACAGCTTCTGCACTCTCATCTCAGCACCCAGGCTGCTGTTTCAGGAGAACAGCAAGCTGGCTCCAGAGAAGAGAGAAGTAGAACCATCACTGTCATGGCAGAATCCTTGGGAAAGAGCAAGGTGGTGGTGGAAAGGATTTTATCACCCTTTCTCCCTGACCAGCTTGTTCTCCTCCAGGAGCCTTGGCAGTCTCACTCTCTTGCCTAAGCTTCTGTGCCTCATGCTGAGGAGGGAGCAAGAAGGTAGAGAGGGATGCCCTTCCCCCTCACTTCAGATACACAAGGCCTAGCTAAGTTTCAGCTGTGGTTGGGAGAGACATCACTATATGATCAGAATAATCTGATAGTTAAATAGGTTAATATCCCTAATATTAAACAGTTATATCTTAGTATTGTATGTGTGTGCGTTTCATGGGATGGTACATAGGGTATACAATATTTGTGTAGCTTTTTTGGTTGATGGTAATGGCAAATGTGGTTCTCTGCAAGCTGTGGAGTGAGTACCATTGCTGTAACTGGAACATCCTGAAATTATCAACAGCTAGCAACAGTTTAAATGGTAGAGGGTGTTAGCACCCAGACCCCTCTTGCAGAAGGGTAGTTTGTAGAGGACGCCCCTCATTTAATTATCACCCCCCAAATCATGTATGTGCTGTGCAGCCTGTCCTGGAAATGGGACCAAGGTGGAGCTGGAACAAACAAAATGGACACTTGTAAGAGATAGGCCTGACAAACTATTTTGGGAAGGTGACTTGGGTCATGGACTTGCTAATAGATCTCTCCCCACTTTCTACTGAGATATTTGAGATATTTGATCTCATCAATGGGCTTCTTGGGAAATGATACCCTTCCCTGACGTGATCTCATTACACCCAGTCATGTGTCCTCCTGCCTATTCACCTTAATCAGGAGGCTATTCAGATATTTTGGTAGCCTTTCCCAACCTGTGCTTGAAGGGTCATCAGAGAAATCATTAAATTTAGCAGGTTAATCAGAAAGACATTTTCAGCTCATATCAGACAGACTTAATCAAGCAACTGTGTCTACTTTTTTCTTTCTGATAAGATAGAATCAAGAGAGAGAGAAAACTGTGAATGCCGGCCATCCCTCTATTTTCTCCTCTCCCTTCCCCCTCTCTTTTTAAGAAGAAGAAGAAGAAGAAGAAGAGATTGGATTTATACCCCGCCCTTCACTCTGAGTCTCAGAGCGTCTTACAAACTCCTTTCCCTTCCCCTCCCCACAACAGACACCCTGTGAGGTGGGTGGGGCTGCCAGAGCTCTTGACAGAAACTGCCCTTTTTCAAGGACAGCTGTGCCAGAGCTTGTGACTGACCCAAGGTCACATCAGCAGGTGCAAGTGGAGGAGTGGGGAATCAAACCCGGTTCTCCCAGATTAGAGTCCGTGCACTTAACCACTACACCAAACTGATCATGTTCCTGTGAGATATAAATTTCTTTACTATCAGTTAATTCACAAGGTCATAACTTTAAAGAACTGAGCCTTCCTGAACTTGTATTTTCTATTATTAAAAATTTGTACAGATTTGTAACTTATTTAGACTGCAAAGAGACTCAGATAAGTAGCCATTTTTTACTTCCATTCACAGACTAATTGTTAATTAGCAACTTTGAAGAAAAAGAATTTTAAAACTGAGGGAAAATAACAAGGCAGCCTGCCAAATTGCACATCGGTTTTGGCCTTTGTTAACTCTGATCTCCTTTTGTTTGGGATTTGGAATCTACTTTTTAAAAAAAGAAAACATCCTTCTATCCTTTTCTCTTATCTGACTCATTCCACTGGGTTACAAATATTTTGGACTTAAATATTACATGAAACTATGTGAAACTAGATTATTGCCTATAAATATTATTTGAAATTGGATTACAAATAGATCATATTTTTGCGGATACAATAAAAATGCACAGGACTGAGCTGAAATATAAATGCGTACCATTCTGTGAAGTACCTAAAAGTGATTAAAAACAATTGACTACATAGGATTTGGAGATTCCTTTGCAATTATTTTTCTTCTATTACTAAGTAAGAACAAATTTGGCACAGAAGGTTTGTTTGCATTGTTTATTTTCAGATCTGCAAGGAAGCTGAAGGAAATAATAAGTTGAGTGATCTGTAAAAGTAGTCCTTTGCTGCCACTTACTGCTCTTCCTGATTAATATATTCTGCCGTTTTTTCTTTCTTTTTTGGCTAACACATTTTGATTTGGTCCTAAGTAACACTCAAGATCTGGTGAGAGATGTAAAAGTGATTGCACAGATTGGGAACAGTGATCATGATGTTGTTGAGTTCAACATTTGTATAAATAGGGAATTGGCCAAAAAGACTGACACAACCACTTTTAACTTTAAAAGGGGTAACTTTTCTGATATGGGGGGACATGTGGGGAGGAAACTGAAAGGAAAAGTAGAAAGGGTCAAAACCATTGGGGAAGCTTGGAAACTATTTAAAACTACGATCCTAGAAGCTCAAAAAAAATATTCTGCAGGTTAGGAAAGGCACAAACAGGTATAGGAAAAAGCCTGCATGGTTAACAAACAAAATAATGGAAGCTATAAAAGGTAAAAAGGATTCCTTTAAGCAGTGGAAAGTCACGGTGAGGCTGATACAACGGAACACAGGCTATGGCAAATAAAATGCAAGTCTGTGGTCAGGCAGGCAAAAAGGGAATATGAGGAGCATATAGCAAAAAACGTAAAAACCAACGATAAAACTTTCTTCAAATACATTAGAAGCAGGAAACCAGCCAGGGAGGCAGTGGGGCCCTTGGATGACCAAGGGGTAAAAGGGGTACTGAAGGATGATAGGGAAATGGCTGAGAAGCTAAATGCATTTTTTGCCTCTGTCTTCACTGTGGAAGATGAGAAGTGCTTGCCCACTCCAGAACTGCTGATTTGGGGAGGGGTGTTGAAAGACCTGAGTCAGATTGAGGTGACGAGAGAGGAGGTCCTAAAATTGATAGACATCTTAAAAACTGATAAATCACCAGGCCCAGATGGCATACATCCGAGAGTTCTGAAAGAACTCAAATGTGAACTTATAGATATCCTGACAAAAATATGTAATTTTTCCTTAAAATCTGCCTCCATTCCTGAGGATTGGAAGGTAGCTAATGTCACTCCCATCTTTAAAAAGGGTTCCAGAGGAGATCCGGGAAATTACAGGCCAGTCAGTCTGACGTCAATACCGGGTAAATTGGTGGAAACCATTATTAAGGAAAGAATTAGTAGGCACATAGATGAACAAAACCTATTGAGGCAGACTCAGCACGGTTTCTGTAAGGGAAGATCTTGTCTCACAAACCTGTTAATGTTCTTTGAGGGGGTGAACAAACATGTGGACAAGGGGGATCCAATAGATATTATTTACCTTGACTTCCAGAAAGCTTTTGATAAAGTTCCTCATCAAAGGCTCCTAAGTAAGCTCAAAAATCATGGGATAGAAGGACAAGTCCTTTTATGGATCAAAAACTGGCTAGTTCATAGAAAACAGAGAGTGAGTGTAGGTGGGCAATTTTCTCAGTGGAGGGTGGTAAGCAGTGGGGTACCACAGGGATCAGTACTTGGTCCACTGCTTTTTAACTTGTTCATTAATGATTTGGAGATGGGAGTAAGCAGTGAAGTGGCTAAATTTGCGGATGATACAAAGTTGTTCAAGGTGGTGAAAACCAGTGAGGATTGTGAGGCACTCCAAGGGGATCTGTCAAGGATGGGCGAGTGGGCGTCAACATGGCAAATGGGGTTCAATGTGGCCAAGTGCAAGGTGATGCACATTGGAGCCAAAAATCCTAAATATAAATACACATTGATGGGGTCTGAACTGGCAGAGACTGAGCAAGAGAGAGATCTTGGAGTTGTAGTGGATAACTCACTGAAAATGTCGAGACAGTGTGTGACTGCAATAAAGAAGGCCAATGCTATGCTGGGGATTATTAGGAAGGGTATTGAAAACAGATCAGCCAATATAATAATGCCCCTATATAAATCAATGGTGAGACCTCATTTGGAATACTGTGTGCAGTTCTGGGCACCACACCTTAAAAAGGATATTATAGCTTTGGAAAAAGTGCAGAAAAGGGCAACTCGAATGATAAAAGGGTTGGAACACTTTCCCTATGAGGAAAGGTTAAAGCGCTTAGGGCTCTTTAGCTTGGAGAAAAGACGACTGAGGGGTGACATGATCGAGGTTTATAAGATTATGCATGGGAAAGAGCAGGTAAAGAAAAAGGTACTTTTCTCCCTTTCTCACAATATAAGAACTCGTGGGCACTCAATGAAGTTGCTGAGTGGTCGGGTTAGAACGGATAAAAGGAAGTACTTCTTCACCCAAAGAGTGATTAACATGGAATTCACTGCCACAAGAAGTGGTGGCGGCTACAAGCATGGACGGCTTCAAAAGGGAATTAGATAAGCATATGGAGCAGAGGTCCATCAGTGGCTATTAGCCACAAGGTATAGAGAGGGGCTCTGGGGCAAGTGATACTCTGTCTTCTTGGTGCTTGGGGGGGGGTCAACAGTGGGAGGGCTTCTAATGTCCTGGCCCCACTGGTGGACCTCCTGATGGCACGTGGTATTTCTGGCCAGTGTGTGATACAGAGTGTTGGACTGGAT